ATACACACATAAATTAGGCATATACGTACACATGTTACATATAGATTCGTATGAAAAGTGTTTGCATAATACCAGTGACACGTAGCGCGTAAAATTGAAAAACGAAGGAAAGATGAAATCGTCTTTCGCGGTCAGCACTCGTTGTTATACCCATGCCGAAATATTCGCAGACATTTTTACGTTCAACATCGCCCGAGGAACGAAATCAGGGATCGTCGTTTGATTCTCTCTCTTACTCTTCGATTTGTACGCCCTCGCACCGCGAACGAAATCGACGCCAGTGATGGGCATAATTGTGATAAAAATTCGTATAACGACGAGAAATGCGATAAAATTTTTTGTTTATAGAAACAAAATCGATTTCTGCAACGAACGGCTCGTTTATATAATTAAAATTCTAATCTGGATTATATAGTCGTATTTCATTTCATGTTGGTCTAATGAAGAATTATTTAAGTTTAATCATTTTATCCTTTATTTATTATTCGAAGAAGGTTGCGCTCATCGCTGGACCACGCGTTACGTTCACGCCGCATACGAAGGCAAGAGACGTTAGAATGTCGCCTCGCTATTTTTGGGATTATGTTTTCGAGAAATTGGCCGCGAGGTCAATGAATTTTTCCATTGCTGTGACAGACACGAAACAAAGTTTTGCGAGACACTGCTGCGGACTTTCACGGCTGCGTGAATTCTGAATTAGAATAAACGATTAGCGGACACACGCAACGTTCAAGTGCCAAATTTTTAGCTACCTTTAAAACGTAATTTATCAAGCCTCAGACCGAGTAGACGCATAATTACCGAGAGAAACGGGATGTTTGGTCCTCGAATGGCGGAAACTGGGTTAACTGTAGTAAGTTCGTTCAAATTTAGTTTCGATCAAAATAAAGATTTTCATCTAACACTGAAACCATCTTTTTATCATTATTAATTTGGGTAAATGCCAGATTAACTGTTTCTCCGCCAAAAAATTCTGTAAATATGTAAATTAAATTCATTTACGAATCTATTAAACAACAAATTTCATGAAATAAATTATTTTCAATCCCATTTCTTAAATGAAATTCGTATACTATTATTATTCCTATATTATTGAAACGATAAACTCACAAATGTTCAATTCTTGAGTCAGTTCAAATATTTTTAGTGATTGTGTTTTAATGAAGGGCCCACTTTTTGCCTGCGAGGGTTGAAGCGTGACTCGTTAGTAAAGGGGGAAGACTTGTACATTAGACGAGACTGTTAAGATATTCGTTGTAAACAATTAAGGCGTTTGGTGGACGAGTTTGATCTATTCGAGACAAGTAGGCGTAGTGATAATTCTGTACCGTTTTCGTACGCAGAGTCGTGTAGTTGCGGAACGTGTTGCTGACGATTCGAGAGGTTTCTGAGCGGTTGCGGATGAAACGTGTTCTATATTATCCAATATTTTTGTAGTGAAAGAGAAATATTCACGTTAGCATGCTACATCAACTAGTTTTGGTTCGTTCTTCAACAATATTTCTGTCTAGCGTAAAATAAGGAGGAAGGATGTCTCTTGTGTATAAAAATTTCGATAGAACTTTCAGAAGGCTTGCGCGACTCGTATAAATATGAGGTGGAAATCAAAAAAGCATTGATTCTCTAGGGAAACATGAAGAAAATTATTTTATTGTATTCGTTAGCAGACAAACGTTTATCAAATAATTATTTATTAGAAAAATGAAAATACTTTATTTATTTCATATTTTCTAGCCAGTACGAAGCTTGATGAGTAATAAAATCGATGTTCAAATTTTCACAAAGTTTCTAATTTATTAATATATTAGAATTTTTATGATTTCCCGCCTCACACGTCGAGTCGAGAAGCCGTCGAGTAAGGCTCTTCAAGAAAGAGCGATTAAACAATTTTTAAACACTAATAATAACTACGAAAAAATTGTGTCACAGCCAACTGAATTTAAAATGAATTTTTATAAAGGGGCACTTATAATACCGTGTAAGAAACAACGTGAAAAGAGGAAACAACTCCAATGACTTCCGACAGGCAACTCTCGTTCCCTTCGTTTCGAAGAGCAAAATCGATTTTGAAAATTCTCCTACTATATTAACTATCTCACCCGTGAAAATCTCCTCTGTTTTCCTGCGCTAAAAGAGAACTATCCTTAGAAGGTCAGTAGTCAGAAATCGAGTCAAAAGGGGAAGAAGGGGTGAAATAAAAATCTAAGGTAACGAGCAAACCACGCTTGATGATAAATAATAATAATCGTATTAAAAACGAGACGAGCGATATAAAAAATCTAAATTCAAAAAATGAGAAAAAACGCCAAAAAAACGAACTATTACACGTGTACCATTAAACATAATCAATACATATTTAAAATATTAAATGCTAAAAGTCATATTCGTAATACACGCCGAGTGGAAATAAATAAACTAAACTAAACTAATCTAAATGAATCAATAATCGATTAACTGAATATTAAAGCTAGCCTGTAATCGATAGAGACGTAGTTATACTTCGAACAGTAATTATAGGGGTGATTCAGAGGTAGTCTACTAGAGATTAGGGTCAAACTTTATCGAGATCATTTTCTCTCTAAACTAAAGGATGAAATCTAATACCTAATTATCTCAGAATAATCTATTGAACTTAACGAAGCCAAAGGCGAACGAAAAAGAGAACGCGGAACAAGAAGCTGAGCACAGGTGACGACAAACAAGATGGGGGTTGAGCGTTAGCGAACGGTGAAAAAAAAATTAAGAGGGGAAAAATGCGACAAAGAGACACCGATGAAATACAAAATGCACGATCTATTTCTTCTCTACCTATGACCTATCTCTTCCCTTGTATATTTTAACGAAGGATCGTCTCTTGTCTACCGTTACACCAGTCGTCGAAGTCGTTACGAAGCTAATAATTCCGTGCGAGTCTGGAACGAAGGGTAAACAGAAATATTTCAAGCGAGAATATATGAGTGAGAGAGAGAGAGAGAGACAGAGAGAGAGTGAGCACGAGCGAATGTGGAAGAATGAGAGCGAAAAGAAATGAATAATAAAAATATTTGCGTTACCTTGCAAATTATATAGAGAGGAAACTAAAGGAATGAAGAATAAAATATTGAAAAAGATACTCCCTTTTCCGTAGACCCTGGTGGGACGATGCAATTGAACTGACTCACCCTCGATCTCATTTGATTTTTAATTATGCCTCGACAACAGCCTGGCCTGATATTAGTAAATTCATATTGAAGAATGTTAAATAAGGTAATAATAATATAATAATAATATAATAATAATAAGAGTAAGAATAATAATAATAATAATAATAATAATAATAATAATAATAATAATAA